AGTTGGGTTAGTCCATATTTGACCCAACATTGGGTTGAAACATCCTAGCATTTTTTTAGAGTGCACTGGCAACACGAAACACATTCTAGCATGCAACTGTACCTATTGGGACATTCTCTGGGTGAAAGTTTGTGTCTTCTCTCTGGGTCATGTCTGAAGAGCCTGCAACTAAATACACACAAAGAAACCCAGGAAAGGATGTAAAACACCATCCAACTAATTGACTTTTCATTAAGAAACGTGCAATGGAAACAGCAAGCGATCACTCACCCATCACTTTGGAAAGGTCAGGGATGATCGGTCTCTGCATCATCGAAAAGTCCAGCTCTGAAATAAGACACAGAAAGTGTAAACCTTTTTTTTTTTTTAATTGGTAATTTTTTGTGGTAACAAATTAACAGCTACAGATGTAAATAACGTGTTTTGCCTCGCAAGTCAACATATTTATTTTAACTAATCAAAACACATATCCATTAGAAATAAAAAAACGAATTGATTGATCAACAGGACAAATCAATCACTGATCATGGCCTTACCCTCACGGGTAAGTAGCAACTGTCGCTGAAGGCCATCTGCCAAAAAAACAAAAACAGTCAGGTCAGGCTTCTAACACAAGCATGCACTCTAAAAAATGCTGGGTTAAATACAACCCAGTGCTGGGTAAAATAGGGACAAACCCAGCAATTGGGCTGTTTTGACCCAGCGGTTGGGTTAAATGTTTAACCCAACCTTCTGGGTAGTAACCCAACCGCTGGGTCAAAACAGCCCAATTGCTGGGTTTGTCCCCATTTAACCCAGCACTGGGTTGTATTAGAGAAAAACAACAACAACAAATATTTTGGACATGTTTTTTTACTTAACAATATAGCTGATAAAATGATAAGGCTAATCTGATTAAAATAATTTCATACAACAGCTATTTCTGGTGGTTAAATTTGATTTGACAAGTGCTGGGACATTTCTCTGCTTTTTATCACCCGGAGAACTAGAAAGCCCGAAACAGAGCCAGGACCAGTGTTGCAAATTTAGCTACTTTCTCATTGTAGCTGCGACTTTTTAAAAAATGTTTGCGACAAGGAACTATTTTAGCTATATTTAAATAAAACTAGCGATTTTTTTGGAGATTTTTTATTTTTTTACTTGGCCACACCCTGCCGTAGGCCCGTGACCGCTCACGTTTGCTCTCAATCATGCCAATGAGTCTGCGCAGTGAACACACCAGTACGCCACGCCTGCCCAGTGTTGCCAATTTAGCTACTTTCAATTGAAAGCAGTTGGCAACACTGCGCCTGCCATGATGCACACCACAATTTCATTATAAGCATCAATCAAGATGCCGGAGGAAAAAAAATTACATCTTGTTTTAACCACGGACAAGTTATACCACAATTCATGCACAGTCATTTCAACCAGATACTGAGAGAGAGACACAGTGCATCATCGTGTCATGTGTGCTGGGATGCAGTATTCTGCACTTACTTTGTAGTAATAGAGTGTGTTGACTGAAATAAGTTTGTATGAATACAGTTTTTGTTTTTGAAGAATCATAATATCTCTTATCTGTTGTATTTGAGGAGGACAGGGATGCACTTTGGTGACACATAAAGCAAATTCCCAACATTGTGTCTTTCCATCATTTCCATCATGTTTGATGTGCTTGCAGATCACAAGCATTTCTTAATTTCACTTCAGAATTTTTTGTTAAAACCTTGGCCAAGATCCAGAACATCTGCACGCATGTTTTTATAACTCTGGTATCCATGGGAAAAAAATCTGTTCACAAACACTTACAGAACATGACATAAATAAACATACATAAACAACAAATCATTTCTAAACTGTCGTGAACGCCCCAAAAATTTAGCTAGCCTATATTCCTTCGCTTAATTCCTGATCATAAGATATATAGGCCTAATATGCAAAAGTGATCCATGTCTGTGCTGTTCTGTGCAAACGACATGAAAACATTAGCGTGAGCTAGGGCCTAAAAAGCTGCATTTACCTTCCGATGCATTGCACAGAAGAGCGAGTAAAAGCGTCAAATAAAGTCCTACGCCGCGTGAAGAGCTCATGGTCGGTGATGTGCCCTCAGTCAAGCACTTCTCGGTTGAAGGTAATGTGTTTCAGACGCGGAGCTCGCTGACTGTGTGTTCACCGGCCCGCTCTTGAGCTTTTAAAGGCAAACCCTCCTCTACATGAGCCAGGACGCGCCAAGTTCAGGAGGAGATATGGAGGAGGAGGAGGATGTTCTGCTTTCTCAGACTTGCTGACACACTTTGTTTTTTTAACGTAGCCTGCCAGTACGTGCCCCGTCCTATCCTCTACCAGCCTAACCCCCGAAAATAATAAGTCAGATGGGTGAGGACGGAAAGGAGGGCAGTGTTTACTGTCAAAAATACACTAATTTCCATGTCACTTCCTTTCCCAAATTTGATGTACACTAGTTTCTAGAAATCATTTGTGAATCGCTTATGATGCCCAAGACGCTCATGATTTTTTTTAACCTGCTTGGTCGTAAACTGAACTAGCCTATTTCTTGGTAAGTTTACCAAAAGCCTTGTCAATGGATTATTAACAATATCTAATTTTCCCCCAATATTTTTGTTCATGCTTTTAGGCTATGTCTTTTCTACAAATAAATAAATAAACACACACACACACACACACACACACACACACACACATATATATAT